AATAAGTCAGCATATGGTCTGAAGAGAAATTATTAACATAATTTTTTTTTGAAATTGATTAATTTTTCAAAATTTTTTTATTTTTTTGTATTTTTAGGGAAGGGTCTACAGGGTGTTCACAGTCTCACTACTAGATTGGGCTTGTAGTGATCCCCCTTTTACAGCCTCCCAAGAGCTGGGATTACAGGCTTGCGCCATCATGCCCAATCTCAATTGCCATCTCAGCACACCCTGAAGTTGGGGCTGGCACGGCAGGCCTGGGGATCAAACCCCTGGCCTCTCTGCCTACTTGCAGGCATTTTAATCTGCTGAGCTATTTGGCCGGCCTTTATATTGATTATGATTCAATTATGTGATAGAAACAGACTATTTGTAACACAGTTGATAAATTGTTTGATCTATAAAAATGTCATCTTTTTTAATGAAAGTTCACTCCAGAGGGTTGAACCAGGGCTTTTGCGCTGAGCTACATCCCCAGCTCTTAGTTTTTAAATTTTGAGACAAGGTTCCTAAGTTGCCCAGGCTGGGCCCAAACATGCAACCCTTCCTCAGGCTTCCAGAGTGCTGGGATTTCAGATGTATACCATGTTGCCTGCTGCAGTCTGTTATCTGTGATGTAAAACAATGAATGAGTCTCAGAAAGGAAGAATTTTGTGGCTGTGTACTTGTTTGTGAGCAGCAGTGTTTCTTCTTTGCAGTGTGGAGTGAGTGCGAGAGCTGGAGGACCATTGCATGTGATTTTCTTTTAAATATTTAGTAGTTTTCATATGATTTTTTAAAAAAGACTTAAACCATCTTGAGAAAATACACACATTTAAATTAGATCCAGTTAAAAGATGTGTCTTAGCAAAACACTTACTAAAATAAGATTTTTGCACATGAATGGTGAGATAAGAATTTGTTTTTAGAGTATTACATAAAACTCCTAGTTGTCTTGTGTCTATAATGATCAAAACAGCTAAGATGTATTTATATAGGTTAATCACACCTAATCCAAACATAGGACATATGAAATGCTCCTAAATCCAGAACTTTTGAGAGCTAACATCGTGCCGTAAGCGGAAACTCTGTGCTTGACCTCATGTAATAGATTACAGTCAGAATGCATTTGTACGGAACGCACCTCCAAAGAGACTGCCTCAGGGTGTGCAGCAAGGTGTGTATAAAGCAGAAGTGAATATATGTTTAGGCTCGGGGCTTCCCTCAAGAGGTCTCACATATATATAAAATTCTACAATCTGATAAAACATCCCAAATCAGGAGCACCTTTGGGCCCAAATATTTTAGGTAAGGGATACTCCTCCCACTTATGAGTGCTGTCATAAGCTGTTCCTCAGCATGCACGTATCATGTTTTACTTGGTGCTCCAAGTTTGCCCTGTGTTGTTGCTAAGGAGACAGAATGGTATGCTGACCATACAGCTGGACTCCCTGAGTTTCAGTTTTAACTCATCTTGCTTGTCCCTTGTGAGATGGTAGACACAACACTTATCTTCTCTATACTGTCCTCATTTATGAAATAAGGATAAAAAAATGTGTTTGTTCGACTTGCTGTGAGGCTTGGAATAGTCCCTAATAAAAAAGATTTAGCATAATGTTTGGTACGTAACTCTGCAAATGAAATCTGTTATTAGTTTTATAAGTGGTCAGTTGACTTGGGAAACTGCAAGATTTTATAGTAAATCAATTCCTAAAACTGTAACTATACAATTGTAATAGCTTATATTTTGTATAATTTGTAGTATATTGTAATTTTATTTTTATCTCATTTTTTATTATTATAATTGTGGTCTGAAAATAACCAGGATCAAGGTTTGAATTTAAGATCAGCATAAATGAGGAGAGACCGGAGTGGTGTTCTAATACAGGTTGATGTGGCCTTAGAAACTGGACCCTGGGCTGGTGAGATGGCTCAGTGGTCTAAAGCACCTACTTAGAACAAACTAAGCTAAGCAAAGCACAGGGACCTCGGTTCAATCCCCAGCACCACATGCCAGCCAGCCCCACCCCCTGGTGGGCTGAACTGGCCACACACACACACACAAAATATATAAATTAAAAAACAAAACAAAACAAAAAAAAACAACTGGACCCTTAGCTGGACTCGTAAATACTGAATGTTTGTCTCTGGATGACGGACTCTGAAGTGGGTATTGTGATTTGTCTCACGTAGTTTTGTTTAGCCTAATGTGCTGAGATTCTATATGAAGTGGAGGGTGTGATAAAGATAAAGCATCTTTACCTTTAAAGATGCTTCCTGATTGTTGGTCTTGTATGTGCATATAGCTGATCGGATGTGTGTCATTGATTGGGTATGTGTATGTGGTAGCGAACAGTTATCCGTGACAGAAAAATAGTGAAGTATAAGTCTTGATGTTAGTCAGTGGTGTCATAATGATTGCTAACATTGAATGGTGTAGAGTGTTAGGAATTGTGATAAATTGTATATACTGTGTCATTTACTCTTCAGCGATCCTAGATAACTGTACTATTGTTTGTCTCCATTTTTTGGTTTGGAAAATTTCCCAAAGACAGCTGGTCAATTATAGGGAAATTTGCTCAGACTTTGTTCTGATCTAATGTTAACATTTTCAGCATTATGTTAATAAATCCTCTGTTAATAGTAAATATTTCCTTATTCAGAAATGCTTTGCAAATATAATGGGGAGTTTGAATTGAGTTACTAAATAGTTGTTTTATGTTACTCTTTTCAGACACTTAATCCTTTCTTTTTTTTTTTTAAATTTTTATTTATTTATTTATTTGAGAGAGAG